ACCTTGAAAAATGGCATCATCATCTATTGGGAATTGTGAACCCTGCAAAAAGCAGCTCATTGTATTTTCAGAAAAAAGGGTTTTGTTTAAAAAAATAATAATGAACACAAGTCACCAAGTGGAGTCTATATGGAGAGAGCAATGCCGTCTGAGATCCTGAGGCTGGTCTCCTGCATCAATCTTTCTTCGTAGATTTTATGTAAGGGGCATTTATTTGCAGGAAAACAAGACACAGTTTTGAAGAACCCCCCTCTCGTCCAGCTTCTCATCTGCAGTTATAATCTTCTGATTGTGACCTCTGCATTAGCTGCCATGGACGCTGAGCACAAGTTTATGACCTCAGGGCAGGCTATAGTTTCTGGGGGGTGTGATGAAGCCTCGGGCAATACAGATCAGATTTTCAGAACCAGAGGAAAGAGGAGAAAGGAAGCCCCCCTCTGCCGAGGGCCACCACCCTGCAGCACTTAGGAAACATTCTCAGCTTCACTTCTGGCTGCTCTGAGCACGAGGATGCTGGACCGTGGCCATGGGGGACATGAGCAGGCAAAAGGCTGTGGGGTTGAAGACAAAGATTTTTTTTTTCTGTCCCTTGGACCCGTTTCCTGAGAGGCTGGGCTTGGTGCTCCAAGCGCCCCTTGAGCTGAGTCTTCCAAAATCCAGTGTCTTTTCTTTAACTGATGGCATCTTTGGTCAAGAGGCAGGGAGTCGACCACTGGTGCCATCTCCCTGGCCTCGGACAGCCCAGGTGGTTTTCTGGAGCGGGCGCCTCCGGGCCACTGCGGCAGGGCCCCGGGTCCCGCGGAGCCTTCCCCTCCCGGCAGAAGCAAACTGGCTGGGCCAAAGAGCCGGGCAGAGCCTTCGCTGGCTGCAAAAACAAAACAGAGATCGCAGAACCCACCAGCGCCGTGGCCTTGCATATCAATGTATGGGCTGGCTGCAGACCGCCAAGTTCGTTAAAAATGTCTCCGGCAGAGCGTCACTGGCAGACTTTAGGGGTTTCGGTTTGCTTTCTATTTAGAATCACCGCATCACACAAACCTTGTTTACTTGGAAGGGGAGGGGGCGGGGACCAAACCCACCAAGCGGCGCACACGCCTTGATCTCACATTCCAGACTCGAGCTGATGTGTGTCAGCGCGACATGGGGCGGGGGGGGGGGGGGGGGGGGGGGGGG